AGGATTTTTGTGACTTATATGGACAACTGGCGCAGGAACACAACAGCCGCGCAAGAGGCCCTGCAAGCCAAGGTCGATGCTGAGAACTTCTACTATGTCATCTTGTACCTTATGGTTATGATCGGAATGTTCTCTTTCATCATTGTAGCCATCCTGGTGAGCACAGTGAAATCCAAGAGACGAGAACACTCCAACGACCCGTACCACCAGTACATTGTGGAGGACTGGCAAGACAAGTACAAAAGTCAAATTGTGAACCTGGGAGAATCAAGGGCCACCATCCACGAGAACACTGGTGCAGAGGGGCTCAGAGTGTCTCCTTGATTAGCGAGAGAGGCATACAGCCAACGTCTGATATGCAAATATGAAGAGAAGCCAGCGTCATGGAGCCAATCCAAGTTGCCATGCTTAGAAGACACTAAGTTCCTCGCTCTCTGTTGAGAATTTTCATGGAGATCAGGTGGCTGGTCAACTAAGACAGGGGACATTTCAATCTCAGTGATTTATGCTTGCTCACTGGAGCAGTAATTTATGCTGAAGACCTCTCTTCTTTCTCGTGCAATGTCAATGTCATTTTAATCAATGTCAATAGTGAAAATAAAGCCAAATTGGAAGTAACATGCCTGGGCAGTGGCAGTGGGGCTAGAAAGGAGAGATTAACAAATCTTTGAATCTTCTTCCTCATGAAACATTTTGTTTGTGACTAAATCAATTTATAAATAACCCAGGTGTATTACCCAGAAGCTGGGGTTCAAAAATCTGTCACTTGCTCACTGGATTGATGTAGGAGCATTTATTTATTAATTCATGAGTGTAGAGTCTGAAGTGATGAATGAATAGAACCACGGGGTTCCTTTATGTGTCTTGTTTCCCTAGCATTGAGTTTATTTGGAAGTCTGAAGACAGAACAAAATTTCACAAGGGCAAAGAGTCCACACCAGAGAAATAGAATCTTTAAGAACTACCTGGTGCAACAGAAACATACCTTTTAATTAACATTTAAAATTTCACAGAAAACTTTTAAAAGTCCTTGTTATTATAGAAAAAGTAATAAAACATTGTAACACTGCTTTATAAACAACTCTTTTCACTCAATGTATTTTCCCTATTTACAGTTACTTATTTCCACTTAGTTTCAAGAAACTTATTGTCACTTACATACTGAAAGTGGCTGAATTGTTGCTGTCTGTTGAAGAGCTAGACTGTTAACCGCTTAGTATTTTGAAGCTTGGGGTTCACAATATCACAGAATGTCAGGGCTGGAAGACACCTTGGAGATCATAGTATTCTTTTTTGTTCTCTTCTCTTTCCAGATGTCTAGAGAGTCTGGGTGCTTTAATACCAGAAAATTAGGCACAGGAAAAAACAAGCAAACAAACAAATAAATAAATAAGCCTAGTCAAGAGTTGGCCAAAGACTGTCAAAACATACTCCTTAAGAAAATAGCCTCTGTGCTTCCTGTTTTGGAAGTTATTTGCTAATGGAAACAGTTGTGTCAACATTAGTCTTGAAGCAACCATGGCTGTAAGGGGTAATTTACAAGAAAGTGCATGTTCAAAGAGCAGGCACACCAAGGGTTCATGGGTTATCTCAGGACGGTTATGAGCGGGTCTGGAACCGAAGGTCGGCACCATGCTGGTTCCTAATCCTGTATTAGATTCTTACTGCTGCTGTAACAAATTACCACAAATGTACCAGCTTAAAACAAAGAGATATATTCTTCTACACTTCTGGAGGTCAGAAGTCTGAACTGGGACTCACTGGGCTGTGTTCTTCTAGAGCTTCTAGGGGAGAATCCATTCATTTGTAGACGGGAATCTCCAGTCCACAGATTAGGCGACTTCATTCATCAATTCAATCAAGCATCATTTAATATCTATCTACTTGGGTCACTGGCCTAGACCCCAGGAGTATAGAGATGAACGGGACTCCCAGAGCTGCAGGAACTCACTCAGTCGAGGCGGAGTCAGACACGTGAACATCAAAACGATATAATGTGACAACATTATAACAGAGAGCAACACAAAGGGGGCAGAGCTAGAGCCGGGGCAGAGCTAGAGCTGGGACAGAGGCCTCGCCTACGTCGGGTTAAGGTCTAGAGAGTAGCTGAGAGGAGAAAGCCAATGGCAAGACGGACTTACGGGCTGTAGCTTCAGGAAGCTTCATGCCCCCTTACACTCTTCTCTTCCTCCAGCTTCCCATCTACTCAGCCAAGCAGAGCAATTGTGAGCAGAGCCTCAAGTCTCAGGGCACTAAGACAAAATTCAAAACAGGAGTCCTTCTTCAACGTCTTATATGGATTACAAGCTTTGTGTCTTTAGAGTGAGATATATACAAGGTCTGTTTCCTAATAACAAAGATGCAATTATGCTAACAGAAGCATTAAATACAGTTTTGGAGAAAGCCATTCACGTTCCAAGAGCAGATACGGCAAGAGTGGTTTCCCTCCTTAGATCAGAAACCCAGAAATGCTGTACCACACAGAACATTCTCACCAGTGTGCCCAGAGCAGCAACCCAGGCTACAAAATCTCAGCCTTGGGTCTGGATCCAGACAGGAATCCAAGGTTTCTACCATCTGACAATGACTATGTCTTTGACCAAACTCTGGTCAGGCTCCTCTGAGCCTTCTTCTTGACTAGACCTCTTGCCCTATAAACACTACACATTCTTGGCAAAAAAGATATCATCCACCTCCCCACATCTGAACTAACACTACCATAGTTTCTAACAGCTCTAGGTTGCGTCCCTAAGGGGACCCCAGCCCGCTTCAAAGTGCTTGCCTAAGAAAATTCAATTTACTTTTTGTGCCAGCCAAAACCTGATGGTAGGCAAATCAGCCCCCTGAATCCCTCCTAGGGCAGCTATTTTAGAAATCTTACAATTATAAATCCTTTGTCTCCCCCTTTGAGGTGTAAATCCTTACCACCCAGAACTGTCTTGTCTCTTTGAGGTGCCAACATTCAAGGAGTAACTCTCCCCAACCTGTGGGCACGTTGCTCTAACATGCACCACTGCGGACAGTCATAAAGATCGAACTTTGTTTCTCCTCCCGAGAAGCGTCTGTTAACAAGCCCAGGTCAGGTTGACCAATCCCCTCTGCTTTTTGTAAATTTCCACTTCCCTGACTCTGCTCAAGTGCCTGCAGCCCCAATCCCTCCTTCCCCTTTTAAAATGCCCAGTTACCTCTGGCAAGACAAAGCTGAGTTCAGTTCATGCTGGACTCTCTCCCCTATTGCAATAGTTGCTTAATAAAGTCTATCCTTAACACTTGAACTGGTGTCCAGCTTTGTTTATCTTTGACACAAGGAAACAAATTAAGGGGGGAAAACCTAGGTTTTCCTAATTAAGTGTGTTTTATTATCATCACTCAAGTATATGGGGCCAACATAGATGGTTATCAGTACCAACTTTACTTTTGGGGAATGGGAGAAATGCCCAATGTTTACGAGCATACTGGGTATACAGTTGCTGCCACTTGTCCCCGTTTGTCACTCCAGCTTCAATTTCCACCAAACCCAGGCTTCCCACTTTCAACCTGGCAACTGAAAATGCCAGTTCAAACAACTTGCTAGTTTTCTTTTCCACCCCGTTTGCTTTTAGAGTTCCTTCTGCTTGGTCTACTGGCTCCAAATGACCTGAGCCCCATTTACTTCTTACAGCATAGATCAGAAGCGATTTGAAAAGGAACCTATGGACTATAGTGGCTGCCCTGAGAGAGTCTAGCTCCAGATTACCCAGAGTCAGACCCCAGCTCTGGCGCTTGCTGGTTTTAAAACCCTGGACAATTTTTTTTTTTTTTTTTTTCGGTACGCGGGCCTCTCACTGTTGTGGCCTCTCCCGCTGCAGAGCACAGGCTCCGGCCGCGCAGGCTCAGCGGCCATGGCTCACGGGCCCAGCCGCTCCGCGGCATGTGGGATCTTCCCGGACCGGGGCACGAAGCCGTGCACCCTGCATCGGCAGGCGGGCTCTCAACCACTGTGCCACCAGGGAAGCCCCATCCCTGGACAATTTACTTTAATCAGTTTGTGTCTCCATTTCCTCATCTGTGAAGTGGTTACAGTCATATTATGTCCTTTATAGGCTTGTTGGGAGACTTCAATTAGAAAATTGCCACAAAGTGCTTAGAACAAAGCTATTTTAGTTACTTTCTCCAGGAAAACTTCACTTGTTGACAGAACTATCCCCCCTCTCCCCAATCCTCCAGTTTGTCCTTTCCTCTGCACTCCCTAACATTTCGTTCTTCACCACCACCAAGATGTCCCAATGGGATTCGGAGTTTGCCTGCCTGGGTTCAAATCTAGATTTTGCCACTCCAATTCACACGTTTTCCTGCGCCGGCCACATCATCTTCCCTTGCCTCAGTTTCCTCAACCAAAAAATGGCGAGCCAAGCACGTAGTAAGAAGTCTGTGAACCTCCCTCTCGTTATCCTTGAACTGGGGGAGGGGGGGGCGGGGGGAGGGTGGCCAGTCTGCGCCCTCCCGTGCCGCAGGGACTGAGTGGACTCAAACTCCGTTCCGGTTTTCTAAGCGCTTGTTGAATGAAGGAATCTGGGAACCTAGTACCGGGCACCCTACTGCTATCCCAAGGGAAAACACACGCATTTTGGACAAAGAACATGAACGCTAAATTTGGAAACTTCTGGGGAGCCACGTGCCCTCAGTCGCACACAGCGAGGAGCGTCCAGGGATGCGAGACGGCTGAGCGGCAGGAGCCCCCGCGACGCCCGCCCTCCGACCGCCGTCTTCCAGCTCAGGTAAGTTCAGAACGAGAACCTGCCCGGGGCCAGGGCGATTCCGCCAGGTGATCCACGTCACGGCCCCACGAAGGCCGTCCGGCCCAAAACGCATGCGCGACGAGCGGCGCACCCACCCAGGCGGCCCGGGCCCACTGCGCCAGCGCGAGCAGCGGCGCACACTCCGAGGTGGCCGGAGCCCACTGCGCCGGCGCGCGGAGCGGTGCATTTTGGGACATGTAGTTTTCTCGCGGCATTGTGGGAGTCGTGGTTCGTGTTCTGGCGGCGAGCTGGATCTTCCGTGGCCTGGAGTTGTAAGTGGATGGCGTCCGTGTCTGCCGAATCCTGACCCGAGACCCGGCAGCTTTTTGGGGGCGCTGTGGAGTTCGGCGGCCCGCCCCGCTTTTGCACTTTCTCTGCAGGACGCTCTCCAGCGGGCCCCCGGGGACCGCGGGGTTGACAGCGGTCACGTCCCCCCCCGCCCCGCAGAGCGTCCTGCCTGGCTAGATTGTCCAGGCGCCGCGAAATCGGCGGATCCGGCGCCGGGGGCGGCGTGTTGAGGCTGGCACGCAGGCCGAGGCGGGGACCCAGAGGTGGTTCCCGCCAGAGAGATTTGGGGGCGAGCGAATGCCCTGGAATGTTCTGTAGAATGGGGGGGGCGGGGAAGCAGTGGTCGCCCGTGGTCCTCATCCTCGGGTCTGAGCGGGGTAGGCGTTGCTCCCAGGTATCGCGGCTGTAGCGGACCCTGGCCCGGCCCTCCGGCTACGGAGGAGCCGAGGCTCAGCCCGTCGCCCTGGGAACCCCGGCTGACCCGGGCGTGGGGCTCAGAGGTCGACCAAGTGATACCCAAGGTTCAACTGGAACCCTCTCCTCCCCGCACCTATCTCTACTTCAGATGACTGGGTGAAGGGTTGAGGTGAAAACGGTAGAGACGGGGAATGAGAACAACTTCGGACAATTCAAACTAAGGACACAACCTAATGAGTGGCTGGAATGAGACACCCAGAGACAGACCGACCCTTGGGTGTGTTAGTTGTGCCAAGAAGAAAATTGTAGACTACACATTGTCCATATTGCTGTAATTGGCCTAATCAAAATAAGCCACTGGGTCTTCTGTTTTTTAGGAGAAATCTGGCAAAGGAGAAATCAGGATATTTTTGCAGTGAAGTAAAGAGAATTATTTCTTCCTAAGCCATTGTTCTTTTTGGGTTTTAAGCTAAGACGGTGGATAGTTCCAGGGGAAGCTTAAAACTTCCTGCACTTCACAGATTTTATGCCTCTCAAAATTGTCCCGGTCTTGTTGGCTTTTGCAGTTCAGCCCTCAGATGCCAGCTGCCTCCTGGTTCTAATATTGCACCAGGTGTACATATGGCAGCAGAGCAAATAGCTTGGTGATATTTTTAGCTTTCTCAGTTGTTCTCATTTGCTGAAGTCCTGCAGGGTGCTACAAAAATGGCTGAGTTGGAGCCTGTAATTTAAGGGAGATGGAGAAAAGTTATCATTTGGAGGCAGTGGGTGGGGATGAGTTTGATTGATTTGCCCTCTCATCTCCCACCCTCAATGCACCCCTTCCACTGCTTTGCAGATGGACTTTAAATATGTTTCTTTCCTAAAGAGATTGAATTTTATCACTCTAGATATGATGTTGAGGCAGCTGCCAGTATATTTTTAGTCAGATTCTGTGATATCAAAGAGAGTGGTGACTTAGGCATTTCAGTGTTGCAGCATTGTTCTTTGGGTTCTGGTTTTTAAAATGATAACACTTTGGTTTAGAGAGGCTAATGGCTTGCCCCAGGTCACATGCCTTGCCACTGGTGCCACCAAGAATAGAGTCCATTTCTCCTGGTTGCCCAGTGGTGGTTCTTTATACCCTGCTGTCACACTTTGTCCTGGATGCCACTTGCTTGTGTCCTGCAGCTTGACATGTCCATTAGTGGAAAGAGGTATTTATCATAACAGTTACGGTTGATAATTTGTTCAGTGCTTTTCATGTGCTGAACATGGTGCTTAGTGTTCATGATCCAATCTTTGAAGGAGAATTTACAGACAAGGGAGCTGAGGCTTAGAGAGGCCCAGTGACTCATCCAAGGTCACACCGCGAGTAAACATAGTACATGTTTACCAGAGGACCAGACCCCCGGGCGTTCTTTTTATTTCCCCCATAACCTTTCTGGACCTACTCGTGGTCCTTGACCTTGGGAATTAATATCTTACCTACTTCAATTCACCGAGTATGTAATTTGGGCTCAGAAAATGTGTGGGGGACAGCCAAACGTGTCTACTTATATCTGCAGACAACTCAGTAAAAGCAGGAGTTGTAAAAATAAAATTTGCACAACCTTAAACATTTTAATTTACAACATGGCTGATTCCTGAGATTATTAGAGATTATTCAAAGTGAAAATTCCAGCAGCAGGTTATAACCTGGTAGGAAATATTTCTCCAGTGCAGGGCAGAATCTGCTGCTACTTAAAGACAAACAGGCCATTTATACGTGAAGGTAATGCACACCTTCAGTCACGGTCATCGCATGTAAACAGATTTATGGTGTAAATTCCTGTTGTTAGCTTATCTGACTTTGAAAAAGTCACGGGGAAAACTTGGCTATCTTGTGCCAACTGCTAGCTTGTTTTCAACATACTATGACCTTGAGTAAATGAGGTCTGAACTTTCTCTATTTAGATGTTTTTGTAAGTGAAAATTTTAAAAACCATCTTCCCTGAAGTTTATCTCATCAGCCCCATTCTAAAGGCCTGTGAAATTTTCTGCTTTCTTGATTCTAATTGTAAGTACCTTTAAAGAGAAGCATCCCCATGATTTTTTACCGCAAAGCTCTCTGTCTGCATTAGGATAAGACTCTGGAGCCGCACTGGATGAGTTCGAATCTCAGTCCCCACTGTGACTCTGGACGTGTCACAGAAACTTTGTTTCCTCATCTCCAAAGTGTAGACGGTAAACTGCGCCTCATGGGGCTGGTGTGAAGACTAGCTGAGTTAACGCATGTAGTGCACTTCAGCACAGCCGGGCCCAGTAAAGCGAAGCTGTGACTATTATGCTGAAAGTCGCCGAACTGCAAAAAAAGTAGGGGCCCCAGAGCCCATCTAGTTGACACCCCCATCTTCACTTGCAGATGGGACGGAGGCCCCCAGAGGGAAGTCACTTACCAGGGTGTGTAGGCTCTTCATCCAGAGCTCAAGTCTTCTGACTCTTAGGGTATGTGTCGTATTCTAAAAATAGTGACGCAGGAGGCCTCAGAGCAAATCCTGTGCTCCAGCCGTGTCCCTGCCTTGTCACCTCCTGCCTCACCTTCCCCTAGGTCTCCCTCACGTCTCAGAGGGAATTCTCGATTTGAACGGCTTTCTTAGGATATTGTTTTCCCCCATCACTGATTCCCTTCCCTCCAGATATTTTAAAAAGCCGAGATTACCTGAATTAACACTCAGAGGACCTGAGAAATAAAATGACACTCATCCACAGACCAGCTCTCGTTCAAGGCAGGGCGTGGGAGGAGGAACAGATCCTGGACCTGGGCTCCTCCGTCTACAGATGAATGGAATAGGAGCCTGCGTCCCCTCAGGAGCAGTGCCGCCACCTCCTCTTGGCTGTGCTCCCTTCCCCAGTGAAGAGCTGCCAAGGGCATCTACCCGCTCAGCAAGAGCTCGACCCTCACCCAGGCCTTCTGCTTTCCAGCAGGCTCTGGTCCCCTTGTTGGGGACGCTTACCCTCCTCTCTGCAGAGCTTGCCGTCTTTGTTCACGGGCCTTCTCTCGGTGCAAGAGAAGTCTTCCTAAGGTGGTCTGCTCTAGAAAGCCCACGCTGACCTGCTTCTTCTCTTCCCCACCAGGACAGTGAGACCTGCCGCTCCGGCCCCCTCTCCAACTTGCCTGAGTGGAGTGGCCCGCACTGACCAGGAGGGAACTCCCAGTTGGCCCAGCATGAACTGGAAGGTAAGAATACCATTAAACATTGATGGCTTGGGGTTTTTCTTTCTCCTGCTCGTAAAAATTCAGAATAGTAGTTCTGTAAGGATTGGTTGATTAAGAAGCAAGAAAAGAAGGAAGAAAAGTAGATTAAAGCAGGAATCATAATAATACATAATATTTTAAATGAAGACAGATAAATGTACATTTATGTGCCAGACTTTTGGAGGAAGGCTAGGCCTTTTCTTTGAGAGGACGTCAACTGCCCTCAGATCTGCCTCACTTTTCTTGCAAAAACCATGCCTTTGAAGTTTCACCTATAATTTCACACTTTGGTTTCTTTAAAGTGGATGACTAAGATCTGATGAAGCAATCTGCATACAAGATCTTTCCTGATTTTTATGCTCTGCTTCTCTAGTCTTTTACATTTGTGTTGCCAACAGTTGCATTTTTTTCCAGTTCAAATTGAGTCTTTCAAAGCATGCAACTTAGTTTTCATGGAAACAGCCTTTCCTTTACACAGTCATAGTTCATGAGTCTCGTGTTTAAATAAATTATCTATTATAACATCAAGTGCTACTTAAGTAAACTGGCTGCAGAATAAACACAACTGACCCCTGTAAAACCTTAGATGCAGTTGGTGGGAGCAGAAGCTCAAGGGCAACCAGAGAGTTTCCTGTTAGCCGCAAGCATTCAGAGGGCTGTGGGCATAGTCAGCACATCTTGGAGAGGGAAGGGGAGTGTCACGTTACCTCCTGGAAGGAGATGGAATGGGGTAGGTTGGAGGTTGGCTAAGAGAGCAGTCACGAAAATAGATGCTTCGAAAAGGATCAAATCAAATCAAAATCATGTATCGTCTCACTATCCAGAGATGGCTACTATGAACAATTTTGGTGTATTTTCTTCCCGTGCTTTTTCCACATATATGTGTAATGTGTGTATTTTCAAACTCATTGTATGTATTTTTTCAATTATCATAAGCATTTCCTTGTTCAGAACAGCCGCTGGCTTTCATCGCAAGAAGTGGAAAGGTCTGGAAGCAGGATCAGGGAGGTGGGAGAGTACAGACCCCGCTCCTTCCCCAGCTCCATGGGGCTTGGGGGGCCCTGCGGGAGGGCTCTGGGGGCTGAGCCTGGTTGAGATTCAGCAGTCGGAGTGAGCATTCTGTGCAGGGCTTGGAGATGCGGGAGCGTTTGTTTCACCTGTGTTGGGGTTCCAGCGCTGCCAGTAGAAAGGCTGGGAAGGAAAGACAAGGCAGTAAGAGGGTGTGGGGTAGGGGAAATAGAGAGCAGTGTGGGGTGAGATGTAGGGAAGGCTTTTTAGCCTCTGCAGAGCCTGACGACAGGCGGTAGCTGGTACCAGAGGCCACGTCAGCCAGCGAGGGTCAGACCGTGTGCTTGGTGCTGCGAGGCCGCAGCGTGTAGCACGACCACCATGAGGACTGGTTAAAATACGGATGTGGCCCCATGCCCAGAGTTTCTGATTGCGTAGGCCTGGGGTTAGTGAGTTCCCAGGGGATTCTGATGTGTACCGGTGAGGCACTACGCAGAGAAAGTTTTCTTTTTAATTGTGGAGTGACATCGACCCACTTGACCACCCAGGCCAATCCTGCTTGTCACAAAAGGAGTCCTTTCCTGTGTCAGGAACAGAATCTGCCCGTACCTTCCCAACTTCGGGCAGACACACAGCTCCAGGGCTACCAGGGAGCAGCTTCATGTTTAAAGGGGGGCGCCCTTCCATGTAGTGTCAGAAAGGAATGGCCTCTCCTGCCCTGATTGCGGTGACCCCCCGGGAGGTTGAAGGATTATGGAGGCCCTGGTGAATCCTGTACTTCCCTTTCTAGCTCGGTCGGCCTGTGGTCATCAGCGAGGCAGCCCTACTTGTGTATTAGTACCTTAGCAACAGAGTGCGTTTAAAAAGTCAGTCATTCTCACGACACAGGTATTGGGATTTTGTTTAAAAAATTGTTATAGATCTAATCCACCCAGCTATATTTTACTCATTTACTCCCTTGAAGATTTGCAGATTTGGGGAGTTAACGTGAGGGGTTTGTTAGAAGGAAATCAGAGGAGATTTAACACGACTGAAGATTTAGCAAAACTGTCCAAGAGTGTTGCAGGAACAGGGGCCCTGAAACCTTTCGCTTTAGCCCTTGTGGTATCCTTGACCTCCACTGCCACTGCTCTGCCCCTTCTCAGTCCCGAAACTTCTGCCTCTTGTCACCTTCTCTCCACAGCCTTTAAAAAGGAAGTAAATACTGAAACCACTTACCTGGGTCCACTTGTTGTTGTGTTTCCATTTCAGTGGGTTTCTAACTTCTGGTTGCAATGATGTACATTCCTGTAACTGCCACAGCTAAGTTTTGGGTTTAGGTCACGGGAACCATGGGCTGTGATGGGGGCTTGGTTATAACAGGACTCCAGAGGCTCACCCATAGAGATTGAGAGAATTGGAAGAGGGTAACTTTTGCCAGAGCAAGCCAGGGTTCGGTTAGCCTGGGAAGTCCTAGTGGACGTAAAAAGAAGTTTATATCTCCAAGCTGGTGGTCTTTGGCTCCAGGGAGGTACAATTTAGCAACCTTTTCTTTCTTAGCTGGCTTATAAACATAGAGCCAATCCTCGTCCCTAAAATGTGAACCTTCAAGAAAGTAAGTGAGTTAGAGGGTTGCTGTGGGGAAGTCGGGGAGATTAGCCATAGGTCTGAGGCAGGAAGGACCTGGACACCACATCGGTATTCTAAGCTGCTTCTGCTCATCAGGATAAGAGCTTTCACTGTTGTAGCATTTTTAGTCTTTTACACTGTGGCCAGAGTGAGCGTTCTGAAGTGCACATGTTGTGCGTATTCTTTACCTTAAAATGATTTTGTGGTTGAAAACCATTATCTAGTTACTCAGGGTGTTCTTGGGACATAACTTGTTGATTTCATTAATTCCACTACATTAAAATCAAGAATCAGTGGAAGGGCAACTGGCATAGGGGTTGGAATGTTCTCTTCCAACTCTGGCCTCCTCATGAATTAGCCGTGTAACGTGGATGGGCCTCTCAACTGCCCTGAGCTTTACTCTCCTCGTGTGTAGAACAAGGTGTAGACCAAGTCGTCTTTAAAATCCTTTCTAGCCCTCCACGTCTGCGAGCGTACTGTCCTCAGCTAAAGGTTTCACGAACTAGTTTCAGATGAGCTTTAGTTAGATCATTGGAGGGAGGGGCTCATGCACTGTCCATCGCAGAGTCTCATTATACTCGTGCTGCGCATAAGAAGTGATGTTTGGCATTTAACCTAACGGTTTCATTGGACTGAATCCTACCTCGTCCTCTAGAATAATGATCTCTCAGCGAAGGCATACCTTTTCACTTTATTTGGGAAGGAATGTTTAATCACACAGAAAGCTCATAGTTATCACTCAGGTCATACTAATCATGTTTACAAAACTAGTGTAGTATTTGCCTTGAGATACTTGTGATATACAGAATTTCATAATAAAGCCTGCTGGTGCAAAAAGTGAGTAATTCCAATCCCTAGTTATTCCCCGGACTTCATTCTAGCCAATGGGTTAAAACTTCCCTCCGACAGGAAATTATAAATAAACAAGTAGCTAAGTTTTAATGTTTTAAGTTTTATTGTATTTTATTTTTATATTTATTTTATCTTCAAATACCAGTGCTAATGAGTAGCTGGAACCAAGAGAAAATCACAGCATCCTATAAGGGTGGAGAATTCAGAAGGAAGTTTTGGTCCAACCTCCCTTTGCAGGTGAAGAGGCAGAAGCTCAGGAAAGTCAAGTGACTGACCCAGGTCGCACGGTCTGCCAGTGGGTCAGTCAGTGGCAGAGCTGGGCTGGAACCAATCCCCTGGCTCCAGCTTCTCGCACTGGACCGAGCTGCTGCCTCAGACGCAGGGGGCCAGGTGATCGGCAGAGTGCAAGGTCAGGTTGTGAGGGAGCAGAGTTATGACGTCTGCAGGCCACTGGTGGTCCTCTCTGTGAAGCCAGCAACAAGGGAGTGATGAAGGGCACCTAAAACTAGACTGTCAGTGACACGGGGACAGGGACCTCGTCTGTCCTACATCAGTGAAGCTCTAGCATCTAGTGTAGTGCCTGGTGCATAATAGGTGCACAGGAAATGTGTGTTGAATGAAGGAACATGAGAGAAACCTTCCTTATCAATTATAGATCATCTAGGATAGTTTCTTTCCTCTTTAAGGTTCTTGAACACGTGCCCCTGCTGCTGTATATCTTGGCAGCGAAAACATTAATTCTCTGCCTGGCGTTTGCCGGAGCCAAAGTATACCAAAGGAAAAAATTGGAAGCAAAACGGCAAAAACTGGAAGCTGAAAAGAAGAAGCAGTCAGAGAAGAAGGATAACTAAAGGGAAATCAAAGGTACCTGGACTTTGCAAATGCAGACTGCACAGTGGGTTAGGGCGGGCCTGTCCTTGCATGGGATAGTTCAGAGAATTCCGGATCCCTCGGTCTGAAGGCTGTGGGCGAGCGCGGAGCCCCACCTGTCACAGGAGGTAGAACAGCTGCGTATAAGGTGCGGGCTGCAGGTCCTGACCCTCGAGCCCCGTCTGCTGGTGAGCCGCAGGGCACACCTCTGCTCTCAGCCTGCACAGGTTCCCCCTCGTTGGGAGCAATGGTGCTTAACAGGATTTGGCTCACAGGACTCTTGAGAATTTCATGACAGTTGTGGACCTTCTCCCTGCAGAAGCTCACATACTAGAAGCACCTAAATTGTACATAAAATTGCAGACAGGGGTGGGGAGGAAGTGGGGTCACAGGTCATTTAAGACCCCTGCGTGTACCTAAGATTAAGAAGCCCTGCTAACCTCAGGATAATGCCTCCTAGGTATGGCATATAAATCCCTTCCCGGTGTATCCTCACCCCGGTCACGTTTGCCCCCTTTGCTGCCCCTCTCTACGCTCCTGCAGGCCATTCCTTGACCACGATAGATGTTCGTGCCCCTTGGCCTTTGCTGGTTGGTCCCCTGGCCAGAGGGCCTTCCCGATGACCGCCTCACTGGGCACAAAGTCTTCCTCATTGTTGTAGCCCAGTGCCTGTCCCAGAGCGCAGGGGGTGCCCAGAATGTGTTTGTTGAGTTAAGGCACCAGGAAGTTATTAAACACCCACTTACAGATCGAACTTAGGACAATTAGCAGTTTCCTAAATTCTGTTGTGCTCACCCAGTTTCATCACTTCTCAGGTTGAGTTCTATGCTTTTCTCTAAAAATGAGAGGATTCAAGTATGGTAGCAGGGAGTTCTAGATCAGTGGTTTCCAAACTTGACTAATGATCAGGATTTACGTGGGGTGCTTGTTAAAATGCAGATTCCCAGGGTCCAGCCTCAGAGAGGTTCCATTCTGCCCCTGGTTGGGTCTGGCATCTGTTCTTTTGAAAACTTTTTAGGTGATTCTTATGCTGTCTTCTCAGCAACAGGTCACTGTAGGAACCACTGGGTTGGTGACCTCCAAAACCTCTGTCCACTCTGAGACAGACTTCTGTAGACGTGAATTCCCTTACAGAACTCGTAGACTTGTTGAGGCTAAAAAGCATACTTATGAGTAATAATTGTCATAACATACTGTAACATACTGAATGCCTGTTGTGGGCTAGCATTTTGCTGAGCGTTTCACATACAGTGATGTTACTGACCACTCCTGACGGCCCTGTGTGGTCCATTCAGATTGAAAAGTGGCCCCCACTGTACATGGTGAAGAGCAGAACCAGAACTGAACCCAGGTCGAACGTTCAACCCCAGTGTGTCCCTCCCGGTCGTACTGTGTCCTGGTCCTGAATGCCAAGTTCAGGGAGGGAGCTGCGGGAAGCGCTCAGCTCCTGTTTCTCACCCCAGGGGAGGAGACTGTCCTCTCACTGGTCCTTAGTGAGCTGGATGCCCTGCCAGGCCAAAGAAGTTATTGTTATGAAATCTTGCCTTTTTTTAAAAAAAAAAAATGTTTTGGGGGCTTCCCTGGTGGCGCAGTGATTGAGAGTCCGCCTGCCGATGCAGGGGACGCAGGTTCGTGCCCCGGTCCGGGAAGATCCCACAAGCCGCGGAGCGGCTGGGCCCGTGAGCCATGGCCGCTGAGCCTGCGCGTCCGGAGCCTGTGCTCCGCAACGGGAGAGGCCGCAACAGTGAGAGGCCCGCGTACCGCCAAAAAAAAAAAAAAAAAAAAAAAAAAGATGTTTTATTGACTGAAATTCATGAGTAGGCACTAGAGGGGGAAGAGGGAGCACTTCAGAATTGAAGAAGGTGAGGGAAGGCAGTTTCCATTGAAACGCTGATTGGATTTCTAATCCACAGAGTCATCATTTTGTGTGTTAACCACAAAGAGAAAGAAAGGACGAGGTGCGAGGCCCTAATCGCTCCTTCCTTCCCACAGACTTCAGTAGAGGCCCGTCAGTGAAGTAGGGAGGGATGGCTTGTCCAGCTGAGCCTAGAACTGACCAGGGCAGCCCGTTTCCCCGTCCTAGGCTGGCAGCTTATCAAAGCTTGGCCTGGAGCCTTGTTTTAAACAAAAGGGATTTTTTTTTTAGATGAAAGGAAATTGTGATGCTAAAACTTCATTCCTTAATAGATATGCTTCAGTGGTTTCTGTTTAAGTGTAAATGGCTGAACTTAAAGGTTGATGCTGAGGGAGTAAAACAATCACTCTTACTCTGTGAGACATTTCATACTTCTCCCTTTGGTCTTCCTTTCTAGATTTTGTAATTTAAATGTCAGCTTGAGTGGACTCCGGCTGAGATGAAAGATTTAATTATTGAATGGTATGTCAGAAGATAAACTCCCAGCCTATAGTCTAACTTAAAACGATGTGAATTTTTCTGTGCTTTTAAAAGAACCAGTATTTTGTTTACTAAAATAAAATACCTTTGTAAAAAGTGTGTCTCCGGTCTTTGGAATAAGCCAAAGTAGGTGTATGTCTCTCTCTCCTTCTCCCTCCCTCCCTCTCCCTCTCTCTCTCTCTCTCTCTCTCACACACACACACACACACACACACACACACACACACACACCCCTCTGTGTAGTGAGAGGAGGGAATTTTGTATTTCTAGCATCTCCTGGCTGTGGGTACCAGATCACAGGTGCACCTCCACAGACGACGGGGCCGTAGCTGTCGCATCAGCCTGCTGTCCCTCAGCCACCCCTCCAGCCCTCTAACCTGCTGCCCTAGTGCCTACGCTCCTTTCCTCCACTTTCTCTCCTCTGAGCACTTCGGCTCTTTCTTGTGTTTTCATTGTTGGGGGGAGGGGCTGTTCGCTGCTCCAGGAGCATCGTGCCTCTGCTGACCCGTGAGGTCCTTGCAGGGAGGGGTGCGGGATGAGACCCTCCTGCCCCGGTGGGCACCAAGTCTAGGAGGAATTGCCTGTTTGTGAGGAGGAAAGAGGATCCCAGGTGTGCTTTGTCCTCTCCCCACCAGTCTGCTTGTTCCGATTTGCTGATATGAGATGAAGGGCGGGACATGCCCAGCAGACTGTAATATTTGAGAGGAGTGGGGTCCATAAGTCTTTTGACTCAGCCCCTAACCGACTGAGGTCTCTATTAAAAGGTTCCTGTTTTTTCACTTCTCTCCAGATACCACAGAGGATGAGGAATGAGGCAACAGTAGCCAAAGCCACAAATATGGTGGAATGTTTGGTCTCGTTGCAGGCAGCCACGTGGAAAATCTGTGCGAGGGCATGTTAGTAGATACTCCCCCTACCTCCCCCCTGCCCCACGCCATCCTGGCTCAGGTTGGCAGAACTTGGAATTTTAAGCATGGGGAATAAAGGGAATTATATTTTTCTTAAGTTTTACTGTGATTGCTGGCTGCTCCTAATCACAATTTAGAAAACAGAATTTACACAGAATCAAAGTTTTAAATACAGGAGACTTTGACTCTACAAGCTACAAATCCCAAAATAGAAGGGGACTTTCCCTCATGCTCGCACCTCAGCCTCCCTGCAGGATGCTGCTCTGGCCTTTGCCTGGGAGCCTCGCGGTGGCCTGGGTCCCGTGCGGCAGGAGCAGATGACCAGAGCAGAGGTGAAATGCAGCCTGGCACCCTCGCTTCCCTGACCTGCTCAGGTAGGTCCAGAACTGACCCTGGGCCATGGCCTAGCCTCCTGCCTTTGTCAGGGCGGACTCTGCCGCCTGGCGGGTGACCCCCCCCACCCTGCTCTAGGCTCCTGCGCTAGGGCCTCGGCCTCTGCTTCCTCACCTCTCTGCAGGATGAGGGCATCATGGGCTCCCAGCACGCCTGGCATCACACCCACTACCTCTGGGCACCCTTTCCTCATATGTACTTACACCTATATGCCTCGTAAATCCCAGGGCAGGGGATGAAGAGTGGCCTTGGCTTTTCACGGAGACCCTATGCCCATCTAGTAGAGGTTCAGGTTTATTTTAAACACAGGTGTGTTTCTAGGCTTTGGGATTTAGAACTCAGTTTTGGAATTGGTGGAACTTCTGGCCGTCTTCTTGGAAAATTCGGTAGCAGATCATCTAAGGATAGGAATAAACCATTGACCACGCCCACAGGTTTTCTGTAAACGGTGTTTTGGGGTTTAAGTTAACCTTTCTGATATTCTCTTCTTCCACTAGGGGGAGATAATCACTATAGTAAGTCCCCAACATACGAACGAGTTCTGTTCTGAGAGTGCGTTCGGAAGTTCAATTTTGTGTGTACGTCCCACAAAGTTAGCCTAGGTACCCAGCTAACACAATCGGCTCTATAGTACTGTACTGTAATTGGTTTATAATACTTTTCGCGCAAATAATACATAAAAAACAGACACGAAAATATTTTTAATCTCACAGTCCAGTACCTTGAAGAGTCCAGCGGTGCAGCACAACAGCTGGCATCCAGGGGCTGGCATCGAGTGAACAGGCAAGAAGAGTTACGACTGGAGGAGGGAGAGGAGGTGGGAGATGGTAGAGCTGAACGGTCGTCAGCAATAGGAGACGGAGGGCAAGCTGCAATTTCACTCATGCCTGACGTTGATGGCACAGGTTCTGGTTCCTTGCTGGAACCAGATGCATGTTTGCATCTTTGAAAGTTTGAAACTTGAAGGTTTGTATGTAGGGGACTTACTGTAGTTGGAGTTATTGATACTATTCCAACCGTGTGTACATGAAGTCAGTAGATTTGTAGCTTGACTTTAAATAAGTGGTTGGATGCATGAACACGTGGGTGGATGGAGTGATTGGTAAAGCCCACACCCAGGACCCCATCTGACTGCACCTACCCAGCCTCTCTCTCGGGACCATAACTGAGAACGATTCCATAAGACCACCGTCCCTGGGCAGCTGAAAGATGTTTCAAAGAACGTAAACTGGAATCTACGTCCTCCATGCACAAGAGAGCCCCAGGATCCCTCACACAGATCATATTTCATCTTGTTAGATGGGCTCCTAACACGTTTTTGGTTTTTGAGCTTACAACATACTAGAATCAGATATGAAGAAAGGCTGTTGGCGGCAGAAATACCTCAGAGCAAGAGAGACGGTCTTTGAGCAGCAGACCAGGCCTGAGAACTCGTCTGTACGATCGCCAAGCCCACACCAGGAACGACACCCATCATGACATTAAAGAAAGGTGAAACTGTCTTTATATACTTTGCTTAACGAGGCAGAGCCGTACATAATATATTTCAGGAACTGAATATTTCAAACAAAAAATCTGGGGCGTTTGAAAAAAGGTCGTCTCTTGCCTGTCTGTCACCAAATTCTCATCTCAGGGAAGCACACCTGCCTGGATGCGACCTTCCCAGCCTCCTGCAGGGGCCGGGCCTGCGCATGCACAGTACTGCGACTCAGCCGACTTGAGATCCCCGGCTGTGCTGAGATGCCACGGGCCTCGTCCTTGTCGGAGGGAAGCCAGGGGTGACGGAGAGTCTGGAGGGAAAAGAGGATTGAGGCTGGGTTCTTAAACGTGATCGCACACGAGAGGCTGTTTAAAGTGCAGATCCCTGGGCTGGGCCCCAGACCCACGGCATCAGAAGCCATGCGGGAGAGACCAGGAATCTGTGAACAAATTTGAAAACCCCGAGGGGATGCCGATGAGGTGGTCCTTGAATCTCCTTTGGAGGCTTAAACGATGGGCAGAGGGAGATGAGCCAGAAGCCGGGCTGGGAAGGAACATCTGGAGCCAGTAGGCTGGGGAGCAGGGGAGAGAACGTAGCTGCGAATCCTTGTTTAGCCCTTAACTGTTCCTCCTGCTTTACATCTATTACCCCCAACATGTATCACCGTCCCCGTCTCACAATAAGGAAGCCGAGGCACAGAGAGGTTAACCTCTCTGTCTAAGGTTCCCCAGCTGGCAAGAGGCAGAGACAGGATGTGGACCTCGCAGTTCAGCTCTGGGCCTGTACTCTTCACTCCCATGCAAGGACAGGGCAGGTGGGCAGGTGTTCTTGTTCTTCCAAGTCGTGGGTCATCAAGTCTTCAAGACGACAAGATGAGGACAGAGGCCAGGCTGCGGGAAGTGGGGAGGGTATGAGGAAATAGAAACAGTGCCGTTTGCATCCTAATTTCAAGTGTGTGTGTGTCTGTGTGTGTGTGTGGTCTGCAAAGTCAGGAAACAAATTTTTGTCTGAGCAATATGCTAATTACAAATAACTAGTTAGTTTTCAAATAATTGGCTCAATATTTCCCTTGAGTTTCCAGATGTTTTGGACACTCTCTAATGTACTGATTTGTACTTTTCAAAGATTCACAATTAGCCCCATTGAATTAAATTTGGAGGGACTTCACGAGCTGATTATTTAAAAATTGTAAAAGAAGTTCCCCCAACTTTGCCGCCTGCTGTGCACCTCAGAGGTGGGGACAGAGACATTGGTAGCCTTAGGGGAAGGCAGGGTTGAGGGAAAGGTTTTTGCAGAAGGAGTAAGCTTGAGCATGATCACAGGCTGAAGGAGATGCGAGAGGAAAAGGGAAGGGAACCTGGCCGGGCTGGAGGTGGGTGGCATCTGGGGGCCGGGCACTGAAGGCCCCGGTACATGCAGGGCGAGGGGATACCCAGGGAAGCTGTGCTGGGTAAAGGCCTCAGTTTCCCCTTTAGCTTGAGGCAAGTCCTTCTGCTCTGAGCGTGGGAGGGATGCTGGGTGCAGTGGGCAGAGCCCAAGGACCTGGGGCCTGCAGTCCCCTCTCCCCTCTCCCTCCAAGTCAGGGGCCTGAGCCGTGGACTACAGCTCCCTTCAGAGACGGCAGGGCCCTGGCTGTCACCAAGTCTGCTGTGGGGAGGGTGGCTTTTGCCCCTATGAGCCCTGCTGGGTGACACCTTTGTAACTGCCTGCGGTCAGGCCTGGAAAACCACACATGGGTTTTGAACCAGGAGCTGGACTCCTTGGTGGGAAAACTTATGCTTCCCCACCCTAACCCATCGTCCTGCACCACACCCTTCAGGGTCTTTCCTTTCCTTCTAGAATAGCCCAAACTCCTTCTCATACAACACGTTGTTTTCTTTTTCCCTCCTGTCCCTTCCACACTTGCATTCTTCCTTTCATTCCACTCACACTGCTCCCTGCCCACCACACGCACACTTGCACGCACACGTGCGCGCATGCACTCACATACCCCGTGCCCTGGGAAGTGGGTAAGCTGGGCACACTTGACCTCTTCTTCTACCCACTGTGATGAAGTCCCTGCTCTTCCTCTGGCCTCGGCTCCAGTTTCACCTCTTCCTGCTGCTCTGCCCCTGACTCCCCAGCCAGGCCCTGGACTCCGAGCCCTCACTCCCCACACCTTCAAAGTCTCACTGACCGAGAGGTACTCCACACCACCAACCTGACTGCCTCCAGGGCCTGAGCTTACTTTCTTTGGGCCCCTGTCCGGGCCACACGTTACAGGCACATAGAAGGTGCTCGAATATTTGGTGAGTGGATGAGTGGTAACACCCAAAGGAAGGGGAGCAGGGATTTTCAGCTGGCCACATCACCATCCAGAATAAAGACTACTTTTCCCAGCTTCCCTTGCAACTAAGTCTGGCCAATGAGATTTAAGTGGAAGGTTTAAGTGTGAGACTTCCTGGAAAGCCCCTTAAAAGAAAAGGGATGAGCCCTTCTTCCTCCTTTTCTCCTTCTCTGCTACCTGGAATGCTAATGCAATGGCTTTTTCAGCAGCCATTTTGGACTATGAGGTGACGTTGAGGATGGAACCAAGTCTAGGACAGGAGAGGAAAAAGATAAGACCCTGAGTTCTTTATGATCGTGGATCCATCATATTAGCCCTGAACTGCCACCTTAGCATTTTTTGTTTTGGTGGGGGATGGGAGGGTACCTTCTATTTTATTTAAATCTCTGTGGTTAGGTCTCCACTACTCATAGCCTGACCTAATCCTCACTGACCCATAGAACCAGCTAGAGAGGGCTGTGAGGACTTCCTGATAGGAAGACGTGGATTCTAGTCCTGACCCTCCTGCCACTACAGGTGGTCATCCCTCCAGGTGAGTCAGTTACCACTTTGTCTTCATTTGTAAAACGAGCTTAACGATCACTGCCCTGCCTATGTACAGGGTGGTTGTCTAAACTGAATGAGGTCAAGTATATAAAAATGTTCTGTACATGTAAAACAATCACAAATGGAAGGAGTGTGTACCACCTGCGGGGATGGGGGGGCAACTCGGTCCCCTGATTGGCCAGGTGCAGCTCGATCAACTCAGTTGAGCCTGGACCTTCCTTGAGTGGTCAAGGCCTGAGCCAGTGGGCATTCAGCTCCATTAACCTATTTCCTTCTGGGCTTTTTCCAGGGCAGCACATTTTCCAACGCGCCACCTCCTCAGGGGGAGCCTGGCCCACAGGAAGGGAGTGGGCATGTGGTTGTTGGTCCTGATGAGGACCAAAGTGGATGAGATGTGCCCTCAGCCAACCTCTCCAAAGGAGTCAGCGCCACCAACATCACGAAGGGTCTTCCAGAAGATGTGTCCACACCTGCAGGGCTGCTGGGCCTTATCACCCACTTTTTTGGGGTTTTTTTCTTTTTTGCGGTACGCGGGCCTCTCACCGTTGTGGCCTCTCCCATTGCGGAGCACAGGCTCCAGATGCGCAGGCTCAGCGGCCACGGCTCACGGGCCCAGCCGCTCCGCAGCACGTGGGATCCTCCTGGACCGGGGCACGAACCCGCGTCCCCTGCATCGGCAGGTGGACTCTCAACCACTGCGCCACGAGGGAAGCCCTCACCCACTGTTTATTTCATACAAGTGCTGCTCCCAAAAGTTTCCAGGCTGTACTCTCCATCCTTGCTGTCCACACCACCAGAAGAGACCTCTTATCCTTAGTTACCTAACCTATCGCAGATGGTCTTAAAAGAAATGCCAGAGAAAAGAATTTCCTTTGATCAAAAGACACGTCTTAAGATGTGTCTACTCTGATTACAACCCAGTGATAAAAAGCAAGAATTTGCCACAGAGAGTGAAAAGGAAATGAGAAGCAACTGTGGATGCTCTTGCTGGAAGCCCAGCCTGCACTGCAGTAACAGGAGCTCCAGTTTATTGAGCGCTGAGTCGGGGCTGGTCATGATGTAGTGGCTTGGTGTGTGCTAAGTGTTTAAAGCCCTCAACTCTAGTTTACGAATGAGTTCATTGAGCCTCAGGGAAGTAACTTGTCCAAAGTCTCATAGTTAACAAGCTGGAAACTTGTGATTCTAACGAGATCCATCCGATTCCCAAAACCCTGTGTACTTTCCACTATTTTCTCCTGGAAGTTTCCATGCTTGGCATAAAGCAGCATTTCTTAATTATGAGTACAATATTACGTAACTCAGTTGCACATTACCCGTGGCCCTTTGATC